AGCGAGTTCCCTGTGGTGTACGAGTTGACGTAGTGTGTGCCGACAGACTCTATGAAGCGCACTGCAGAAGTGAGATTTCCAATCTCCAGCTGATCCATGCGCGCCTTTACCTCCGGCTCAAGCTGCTGGTCGATCGGGATGTCGGCGTTCAGCTTGCCCGTCTCCCGGAATCGCACAACCCGAACCAGCACGTACGAGTAGTCGCCCTGGATGAAGGAGGTGTTGATGCCCAGCTTCTTGGCCGCATTGTCGGGAAACCAGCCACCCGTGAAGGCCTCCCAGGGCTTGTCCATTCGCTCGACGGTGAAGTCACGGAAGTAGGCCTGAAACAGCTGGCGACGATTATCGCAAAACTCCATATGGAAGTCGCCATGGAAGATGCCGGGCGTGGTGTCCTCATGGCTCTCCGCCAGGCCGCTCAAGTTCTGGTAAGAGAAACGAGGAATATTAGAGGGCTGCCATGGAGAAGAGTAGAGAATGGATTGGGCTCACCCTGTAGATATTTTTTGTTGGCTCCTTGAATATCCAACGCTCCGTTTCGACATTGTCATTCATGGGAATCACCCGCATCGATATGCTCAGGTAGCCATAGCGCAGAAATATGTTGATGGCTTTGCCAATGCGCAGCTGGGACTCGCGACTGCCGACGGCGGCGAGGAGCGCCAGTGCCACCAGCCAGAACAGGCCCAGCCGCCCAGATGGGCTCGGGCTCATCGCTCAGCGGTGGGCTACTCAGCATGCAAGGGACCTGCAATGGGAAGCGGATGTTATGAATGTTAGCAGGGGGCTACCTATAACTATAATTATATGTCTACGCTTAGTCAAGAGTATTTGCTTTTCCACTCTATAAGCGGGCGATAATTTATGCGAGCTCTAATTGACCATGAACCTTCAGTAGCGCTGAACTTGAACCGCAACGTTGAGTTGAGTGTTGAGTTGAGTTGAGGCCACCTGAACCTGACGTCGACACAGCGATGATCTCGGATCGCGTTGAGCTCTGACCACCTTAAGTGACTGCAATTAGCCGCAGGTTGTGTTGTGTTGTGGCTTTGGCTTTGGCCATAAAGCAACGCTACAAAGTAAAGCGATCAAAATTGGTTCGGAGGCAGCATATCATATCGTTGGCCGTTTTGAACATGCAAATGATTTCCTAAACATTTTGCATGGCCCGCAAGACGAGACGTTATGTATAGCGGCCATAGCCGTTTTTATTTCTCCTTTTTGGGCGCACTAGTTTAAACCGGTTTGCCATTCGCCTGATTATGGCCGGAGAGGAAGCCACAGCCAAAGTCCAGCCAAATTGGCCCAGGCCAAGCCATAAATTCTAACAATATTGCAGCTTTTCCAACTCGAGACGGCTTTCAATGGAATCGAAGCCCGTTATCAGAAGCAGAAGCAGAAGCAGTAGAAGCAGAAGCAGAAGCTGCAGCGACGTGTTTGACTGGTTAAAACACACAAAGGTTAGCCGGGTGTTAGCCATACATACCCATGAGTCACACCTGCCCCCTGCCCCTCTGCCACTCTGTTGCTTTCAACCAAATCGCTGAAGCGCAACTTAAGCCAAGCGACAGTAGACACACTGCCACTAGAAAAAACTACAAAATAAAAAGCAAAGCCACATAATGACACTCAAATTGTTAACAATTGAAGTGAACCATAAAATGTAGGCGACACTAAAGTTGTCGACTAACAATAACTTTGGCAGTGGTAAAAACAACATCAGGAAGGGTGACCTGACAATAACCAGCAGCAGTTGGGCAATGCCACAAAAGGAAGAAACGACCTGTGAACATTTTGCTTCCTATTCTATTTGCAGGAAATACTTCTAATATATGTAAAAACTATGCCTTAATCAGTATATTTAGAAGGTTATTATCGGACACACTTGACATCGATGAACCAAAAAGATTGCAAAAATGTGTGAAATTCATTTGTCTCAATGAAACTCAAAAGCCAACCAAACTCATTTGAAGCCAGTTTGTGCTGGTCAAATTCTAATAATCATTAGATTCACATAAGCAGCTTGGCTCCATTCGAAGTGAATGGCTGGGGTCTGCTGACAATTTTCCGGCGCACTACTCCCATTGAGAGTCGTCTCAGGCTCTTTGGCTAGTTACCAAACTTAAGCTCTGGCAAAGACAGAAGCGGCAAGAGTGGCATATGTTTATGATATAATGATTGGTGGTGTAGTGTTTACAATAGCGGACGCATAACCTTGTGCAAAATACCTAAAAGCCGCGAAACGGACCCAAACACACACACACACACACTAGAGACAGTGGGGATTGAGATGAATCAAAAATTCAATACGCGCACTCGGACTCCACTTCGTTTCAATCACTCCCTCCCCCATCCGCTAAGCACAAGTTGAACTCGTCCAACTGTGACTTTCTGACGTTTTCTTGCCAGAGTCTCATGTCTCATGTCTCTCAGTCTCCTCAGTTCAGTCAATTGGAGATTCTTTATGCGCATTTTATGCGCTCTTTTGTGGTCTCTGGTGTGGTGTGGTCTGGTCTGGTCTGGGACGAAGGGCACACACCACACACATCACACACTTGGGGCTTAAGGTCTGCAGTTTATAACTATGGTATATAATTTTATGCTTGCTCCGTATGCGCTGTGTGTGCTGTTTCCTTGAGCAGAGGCGGTGTTAAACAAAAGTTGTCTGACTGCGAACTGTTTCTGTTTTGTGTTGCTGTTTGTTATTTACTTTACCTGCACGAGAACTCGAACTGGAATTGACGTAACCATCAACCCAGAAGCCGCTTTTTGGCTTTAGTATTCAGAGAAGCTTTACTTAGCGTATTCAGAGAATGACTGGGGAGAGGGAGAGGGAGAGAGAGATCAGAGACTTAGACTGAGACTTGGCCGATTGAGATTGGGTGGGTCCGGAGAGTTGTTTGGCAGTGGCTTGCCTTATCGCCTGGCTGCTCGTAACTGACAAGCCAGCAGGGGCCATTGCACACAGCAGCGCCATACGAGCAGAGTATCATTTAATTATATTTTGTTGATGGAGCGGGCTAAAGGTCGCCGATGGCAGCGATGACAGGCTATGAGCTGCTACGCATGGCGCCTTCAAGTGATAAGCATCCCATCCCATGCCATCCCATCCGACTGGAGTGGACTAGACGATCCAAAAATAGTTCCACCAGCCTCCAGACTATTTCAGAATTTACCGATCGGTATTGGGTTTCAGTCACACACACTTCGAGTTTCGAGTACACTACACTAAACTCAAATTCCACTGGCCAGAGGTACATTTGGTATACACACAAGACTGAAGAAACGTGCCTCAATTGCAATTAAAAAGCCGGAATCCGAAAGCACTTACACTTTAAACACGAGCAGTTGGGAACGGTACGGTACGGTGGAACGGGATCGGATCGTGGGCATAACTTCCACCACCGCGCAGACTCGAAGAAAAATTTAAAATAAAACCAGTCCCACAGTACCAAGATCGGGGCGGGCGGAAAGGCCGTTCAAATACGCCCGCTTCAAAATGTTGCTCGGCAGCATGTAGCTGGAGATCGTTTTGCCTCAAACATGTTGGCAAAACATTTTGTTTATATGATTTTTTAAGTTTGTTGTTACAATGTATTGCAATGGATCGCACTAAAATAGTTTATTTTTGTCAATATCGTCTATCGGAAGAATTTTCACACTTCGACTCAGTTTTGCGTTACAGTTATGAGCTGCAGATGTTGCTGACAAAGCCGGACTTATGCGGTTAAGGCTACATGTTGCCAAGAAGCACAGTGGGTCACGCCCGAAAAACAATACATTAATTCTAAGAGTTAAGATCACTATTTTACATTTAAATTGAGGCTAAAATTAATACTTACCAAAAGAAAAACAAAATTAATGAAAGTTATCTAAAAACAAAACAAAAATCCTATTATTTTGATGAAATTCTAATGATAGTTAGAGGCAGTTGCAGTTCAATGACTTGGGGGCAGAATCGATGATGGAGCAGCAGATGGCCAGTCGAATGCTGATGGAAATACTTTGACACAAATATCTACAGCCGTCATCGGTTGGGGGTTCGAGGAACGACAGACTGACAGCTTTTCCGCTTATTAGTGTTTCCTGGCACGTTGTTCGACCGTACCGGCCCTCCGGCATACCAAGTACCCCAAACGATGGGGACGCTGTCAGAGCCTGGGAGGGGCGCAACAAATTGAAATGATTGCAGTTTGCAGAGCGAGGGGCTTGCGCAAGACTTCAATAGAATCGTGGAACAACTGTTGTAATCAAAAACTTTTGGGGACTGTCTCTGTCGCCTCTCTCAGGCCCCAACTGAATGGTCAACATACATAGTAAAACAAAAATAAAGATACCAAAAGCTAGAGCCAGAGGAAAAAAAAACGAAAGTATCAGATTCGCATTACCTTGAAAACATGCAAACAAATTTGGGTCAAGCCGACAGCTTAGTGGGTATCAGACTCAGAGTTGGCAACGTTTGATGTTTCTTTCTTGTATTTCAATTAGAAGCTTCAGATCTCGCTCGGGTCGGTGTAAGTGTAGCCATGGCTGCAGGGCATCCGCTTGTCACATTTGCCTTGGGGGGTGAACACTCTGGTCTGTCCATTGACCATTTCTACGAATTTCGCTGCTGGCTTTCGAAGAACTGGAAAGGTTATCTCTCTGATTTCTGATTTATATTATTGTTCTGTATGGGGGCTTATGCTTGAGTGGAGTGGGGAGGAAATGGCCCGAAAATCATTGCAAAAATTGACTGAAATTGTATCTCTCATATATTTCTCATTTTCATATATAGAGGTTCTTTTTATTAATTTCTTTTTCTGTGTTTGGGATTTCTTTGTCTTTGCGGCATGCATGATTCAAAACTTATGTATTTAAAATTCGGTATTTCAGTGTTTACTGGTTTTTGTTTTTCCATTTGTTTTTCTTTCATTTTTTGTTTTAATTCGCATTCCCATTTTCTTCTGATTTTGCTATTATTATTCCCATTTTAAACTATGTATATATTATGACATTTGTATCATTTACTTTAAATGATATTTTCTAACGTCTTTACCTATTAGCGTATCAATGGATCGATATCGATCCATCTATCCACTCATTACATTTCATTTCATTTATTATTTTAATAACAATTCACTCAATTTGCTCAAATCGTGTCAATCCTACACATATTGACTTTGGAGATCATAAGCATTATCAACTCGTCATCATCCTACCCTCATTATCTTTAGCTTCTTCATCATCGCTTCTACCACTTATCAAATTAGAGAAAAATTCTAATCCGTTTGGTTTGCTTCCTTTATCTCTTCCTACCTTTATCGCCATCTGGTTTTTGCTTTCCTTTGCTTTTTTTTATGTAATATCAACAATAAATTTTCGCTTAATCTTAGGGTGAAATTATTCTTAGTGTACAGCTACAATTTGCTCGCATCAGCTAAGAAAAAAACGGATCAGTTAAAAATAAGAAACGAATCCCTTCGAAATTCTAGCTCATTCTTGGAATGTGACTTCCCTCCTATTCCCATCCTAATCCTGATCATTCCACCTTGTTTTTATATCATAAAATATTCGATTTTTGATTTGAGCATTCTCCTTAGATCTTTCTTTTTTCTTTGTTTGTTTTCGGTGTTTTCTGGCACACCCTGCCTAGGTTGGGGGGAGAGCTGCAACATATACATACACTTCCGATTTCTGTTGTTCTTCACGAGTCCATCGTTTTGTTTTAGGCTTTTAGTTTTTAGGGTATAATACTTAGTTAATTTGGCCACTTGGCTGCATTTTTGGTTTTGTTGTGGGTAGGTAGTTAGTTCATCAGTTTCGGGTAGGTTTTTCATTGGGGTACTTCTATGATTTTCATTGCCTGCCTCTTGCCTGCTGCCCTGTCTGTCTCTCGCTCCGAACCAAAAATTCATAGCCCAGCGTTCAACAATAATTCTCTATGCAAAAATTGTTCAACCGTTTTGAAACCATAGAATTGTTCTGGTAATTCATTTATGTGTGCCTGTGTGTGTGGGGGAATTCGATGTGGGTTCTGTGGCTTGGCTCAAACTAAGCTCTGGCTTAAAAGGGAAAGTGAGGTGTTCTTTTCGGGGGGGTGGTAGGAATTACAAAGTCAAATGTGTGTTAGTCTAACATTAATCGTAAGTGGCTTTTGCTTGACCAAAAGATGTTTCGTTACATATAGAGTGTCGTAATTTATATTTCCCAGTTTTAATCAGTTTCTTCCTTTATTCTTTATTGTGATTGCATGTGCACTCCTTAGTGTGTTAAGTCTAAATTCAGCTTTTGTCCTGCTCCGGAGAAGCGCCTTCATTCATAACTGAGACAAGCTCAAGCATGGAGAAGCTATTGTGTCAAGCATCTATCTAGGAAGCAGGGAAATCTTCGGTGAGAGCAGGAGGAAAAAGCTAACGAGCGCGTGGTCTAAAGGAATGATTTTTAAACAAAGTTTGAGGCTACAAATCGGAATGCTAAAGTGATTTTTGTACTTGTAAAACATTTAGAAAAGATTTTTGTAGAAGCTGCTGCTGCTAGGGTGGTAACTTGGCTTGTGGGTAAACTGCAATTCATTTCGATTCGATTCGATTCGATTCGATTGGATTCGGTCTGCTCCAGTGTAAACTTCGATTGGGTTTGTTAAGGTTTTCGTTTTATTTGGCTGTGGGTTAAAAGGAAGCGCTCCGCTATATTCATCTTATTGAACTTGACTGATTTTCAATGTATCCAACCTGAGTTTTGAGTTGTTCGAAAAATATATATATGTGTATATGTGTTATGTATACACATACTTTCTGTACTAATCGTTTCTTTCATTCCATTCATTATTCATGTGTTCTCTATATATTTATACGTGTCCCGTCCCGCGCACTCTTGCACCAGTTCTCATTGGCCTCTAAATAGTTTAATTCTTATTTGATTTACTTCTTTGTTGTAATTGCTGTTAGTATGTGTTTGTTTTTGTGCTCACTCTATGTTTTTGTTGTTGTTGTTGTGTTGTTGTTGTTTGTTTGTTTAATGCTTTTCCTTTAATTGCTTTTGCTTGAATTAAACGCGCCTGCCTCTTATTTTTATTAACTCTTTTTATGTATGTTCATCTCTTGATTGCATTTTTAATCATTTCCCATTGAATTTATTTAAACGTCAACAATTTAGTTTTTTTTTTTTCTTGGTAATATTTTAGTGTTTGTTTTGTTGTTGTTGTGTGTTTCGTGTGTAAGTGATGTTATTATACGGGTCCTTTGTGTTAATGTTTATTGCATTTAAAAACGTACACTTTACGATTGGTTGTCCTTATTTGAGCTTCCATATGTAATTAGTGTGTTGTTTTTTTTTTTACTTGGGCTTGAAACACTTGAAATTGCTCTCATCATATTACTTTTAACATTTTCCTTCACTTCTTTCATTTATTTGTGTTGCTGTTATGTTTAATTATAATTAATTACGTAGTTTTTTCGCTATAATTTACTAACTCGTTTTCCGCTCGCCTCTCACAAGACATTTCTCGGATTTTCTATTTTTTTTTTTTTGTGTTTTTTATTTTTATTTTCGTGTGTGTTTGGAAATAATCTTCGATTGAAACAATTTAGAGTGTTTTAGTTGCGGTTTCTGATTCTGTTTCGGTTTGTGTTTCAGTTAACTTAGACACTAACAAGTGCAAGATTAACATAAGCGTTTAATGCTGTCTGACAGAAAATAAAACAATATAAATACGAGTACAAACAAAAACGGTAACACAAAACAATCATAAATATAATACATAATAAACATAATAATAATGGGCTGCCCAGACTGTTTGAGGGCAGCCCATCGGAATGGCAAATACGATGTAAAATTAATCACTTCAAATTGAACAAAGTAAAAGGCAAATACAGCTCGATTTACAATTAACATTTTGTCTTTACGTTGCGACCGCAGTACCCACAATACCCTCCTGTTCTCCTCTCCAAATATCCTCATACCAATGTATATCTCGGCGCCAAGCGCTTTCTGTCTTCACTGCAGTTGCCATTGCTGTTCCTGCTGCTGCTCCTATTGCTGATATTGCTGCTATTGCTGTTGCTGGTGTATGTTTGTGCCTTGGTAATACTTTAATGGTGTGTTTGCAGTGTGATGTTGTGTGGTGTATTGTTGTGTTGTAGCTGTGATGTAACTGTGGTGGTGCACTCAGTAGAGCGCCACATTGGAGGCCTGTGTATATGCATCCCACTCGCAATCGCAACCCTCGAGGCAATCGGGGCATTCCAGTTCACTGTCTTGTCAGTAGAGCCACGAGACTGGCACCCATTGTGGAGTGGTGTGCACTCGGTCGATGGCCGTTTCCAGCGCGGAAATCGTATCGCTAATGTCGTTGTTCACAATCGTCATATCAAAGAAATGGCCATACATTTGACGCAGCATTTCCGATTCCTTTGCCAGACGCTCCAGGCTCCCATCGTACTGTCGGCGGGTAGAAAAACAAAGGAAACCAATTAGCATAGAGGCCCTGGTACCGGCACCGCACACAATTGTCGGCCAGTCAGACAAAACTTACATCGGCGATATTCTGCAGCGAGGGAGCCGCTATGAAGACCACATAGGGCGTGAATTCGGCTGTGCGTAGTATCTTCAGGGCCTGCGGCTCCACATCCAATATGGCCATCTTGCCGTCTGTGTGTATGCGTCGGATAGTGTCCAGCTTGGTGCCATACATCGCATCCTCGTGCGTGCCTGGGTGGATTCCTAAGTATTACTTTGAGTGCTGTAGACGGTTACGACTCACCATATTCCAAGTACTCATTTGCGGCGATGTCCGCCATCATTTCGTCGTGCGAGACAAAGTAATAGCTGCGTCCACTCTCCTCCTCGGGCTTAGCAGGTCTCGTTGTATCTGGAACATATAGAAAAATCAATAAATCAACATCTCGTCGAGTGTTTTAGGCAAAGACTCCAACTTACGTGGTATGGGATAGGCGTACTTGTCGGGATACTTGGAAATCAAAGTGTTTTTAATATGCCGCCTGCCCACCCCATGGGCACCCAATAGCACCAACGTTTTGCGCTGAAAATTCGGATCACCAACTGTTGAGAAAGATAATTTATTTTAACACATGTTCCATAAGGTTTAATGGCAAATACAAAACCCACCTGGCACCTTGACAACCTCTTCGTATGTGACCACATCTAGATTATCGAATATGGCATTATGCTTGGCCAAGTACTTGTCCCGACACTGCTTCTTCTTGCGCCCGAATATCGAACAGTTTACTGTAGGTTATAATTTGGGAAATGTTTTATAGTTCCATTAAGCAAATGCATTTAAGAAAATATTCAATTATTAGAAACTGAAGAGCCACATGCCTGATGGAGCATACACACAAACATGCTGTTTTGCAGGCACTAAGAGTAAGTCATGAAGCAAGCAAATATTATAGTACGATTCGTATAAGCATTCAGTTCATGATATTATAGCATGGCATAGAAAATGCATTTCTTTATCGATTGACTTGTTTCTCGAATCATTCGCATATTTCTTGATTGACATATTTTTGCCATTTATTTTGATAACATTTGCGAACTCTTTCTGGGACACTGCAAAGATGCTTCCGGGAATCTCTTCAGATTGTAAATGCTGTGTGGTGTCGTGTTCTTCAACGTGCAGAGTGTGGCCTGTGTGGGTGTATTTCTGGGTGTTTGTATGAGTACTTTAGTCATTGGTTTACTTAGTTTATTTCGGTTATAAGCGGGGGGAGGAATGATCATACGCAACGATGGCTAGTGCTGGGTTCTACGTTGTTCTAGATGATGGTGATGGCTGGTGGCTGGTGGCTTGTGGCTATCCTTGGGGGGTCTGGTGGTTTCGATTTCGGTGCCTTCTACATAAGCTACAACTTTCGGTGGTTTTGGATAATTTTTGGCTTGGGTGGGGTGAATTTTTTTGGGGGGGGTGAAATCTTTATACAATTGCTATCGTTAAAATTCTGTTGCATGTTGTTGCTGTTGTTGTGTGTTTGTGTGTTTTCTTGTTTTGTTTGCATAGCAGAACTCAAGAAGAAACGGTTTATGGTTCGACAATTTTGGCAAGCTCTCCTTAGGCGAACAGCTTGGAGATTTCTTTGAATTTAAATTGTTGTGTGGCATGTTTTGTGTGTAGGTTGGTTTCGTGTGTGCTTTATATGGTAACTACCTGCCGATCCATCACACCCATCTGCGTGAGCGGAACATCCAGCACCCGGTTCTCCTGCATTATATTATTATACATTTTTTATAGTACATATGCTGTGATTTCTTATGCTATTTTTGTTAAATATTAAATCATTTTACAGCTGTGTGGGTGTGTGGGTGTGTGTGTCTTCGGGTTGGGTGGGGTTTTTGTGTGTGTTCGTCTTTCATGGAGTTTTTAGTAAAGAATTTGGTAACATTTTTGGCTTGGTTTGGTTTGGTTTTGGTTTAATTTAAAATGCGGGTTTCTTTGGTATTCTCCGACTACTTTTTTGGGGCATGCAACTCTCCAGGGCTTATTATGTTAGTGTATAAATGTGTGTACATGTGAGGTGTGTGTGTGTGTGTGTGTGTGTGTGTGTGAGCGCTGACAAAGAAGAGACAGAGCCATAGAGAGATAGAGAGATGGAGAGAGAGAGAGAGCGCGCGATTTCCCTTGCGGTCAGGTCAACTACGAATTCGTCATACACTTTCCAATATAGTACAATATATAGCATACGATTGATTGATTGATTGATTGATTATATCGAGCATCCAATTACACATAGAGAATACGCATAGATTCGTTTCTTTTGTTTTTTGTTGTTTTTGTTACATTTAAAACTATTTTTGAAGGACTCACCCTGCTCCTGCTTGGTTTTGTCGACCGTCTGGCAGGCAATGCGCCACTCCTGCAGCTCCGGCGATGGTATCAATCCCGCCGAGCCACCAACCGTGTCCAGTCTCGCCTGCCACCAGTGATGATCGTCCTTGCTAATGATCTGCACGGACGGGCGATGGTTGCTTCATGATAAGATTCGGTTTAGTTGCATGCCCGAGCTGCCACCTACCTGCAGTATGTCGCCCACTTGGAATGATATGCCCGCCTGGGCGCAGGGTATAAGTTCATCATCCAGCGGATTATAATCAAATTGTGCGCGCACGAAAATCTGCACGAGAAAGGAAGCCAGAAGCCAGACCCAGAAACAAGAAGACCACAAAGTGAGTTCACAATTTAGTTTTGTTTTTTCTTTTTTCTCTTTTTACTTTTTCTCTGCTCTTTGCTATTTGCTGACGCTGCAATTTGAGTCGGGAGGCAGGGCTGGCTCCGGCCCTAATGCGGCTGCCTCAGCGAAATGGGTTCTGAGTTTGGTTTTCCCCCAATTATATTCCCAACTTATTTGCATGGCATCAGCAGCAGCAGGAAGCAGCAGCAACAGCAACAGCAACCACAATTAGTGGGAAAAAGGCTCACGGCTAACTGGATATTTTCTTGCAGCTTGTAATATTTATAAATAAAACGAAATTCCCTCATGGGATATCGGATAATTTTAGCAGCTTCTAGTTCTAGTTTAAACTTTAACATACACTGAGAATGGTTGGCTTATTTTCTGTATTCTCCATTCATTTTTCTGACGAAGACTTGTCGGGGAACGACTACGTTTTTATGACAGCTAATTATATTTTATAGTTTACGTATCCAGGCGATGAAACGGACCGACTTGAGAGCTTTGAAACAGATGGACAGACCAGACGGGATGAAGCTTCAACTGTTCAGCATCAGCTGTCAAGAACAGACGTTCTTTGGAGGTTCGGAAATGCTGGCCCCTCCACTGGGATACAGGTTCCATTGTCTTCCACTCGTACAGTTGCTGTACTGTGGTTACTGTTGACTAGCCAAAGAGCATAAATTACACGAATTTGGGTTGATTGTGTGCATAATATTGTTACTTGTTTATCGTTCTATGAATATGCACATCTACCATAGGTGTGTGAGTTTGGGAGGAGCGGTAGTTTGTGTGATTATGAGTTCTATTGTTAAGGTGGCAAATGATACTTACAAGCACCGGAGCGGGTCTGATCCTGAAAAGCTGCATTTGTGTGTAGTGGAGAGTGTAGGCAAGTAGGAAGGAAGCAAGTCAGATGAGTAAGATAGTGTGGAGAGTTATGTAAATGAGCAGACAAGTAATTGCATAATGCATTATAGCTACAGAGCAACCACAAAAGAGTGCACAAGAATGCCCCTGCACGCTCACACAAAGGTTTTTCCCTGTACCATTTCCTGCTCAGAGTAAAGAGCAGACTTCGTTAGCTCTTAATCTGCATAATGCAATCGACTGCCCAGGAGAAGAACTGATTTCGGGGCAGGGGCTAGGGGAACATAATGCAAATATAATTAATCCCTTTTCATATTTTGATTTCACAAATTGACAGGCAACACGAGTCTTCCACTCAATGAAATCAGATTACTTAAGCCCCAATTGCAAACCGATGTATTCTGCATGTTGAACTCCTGAGAGCATTCTGACAGCAATGCCATAAAGCTTGGCCACAGTTAATTGGAATATCGTTAAAACCCAAGGCTATGACATGATAAATAACGAAAAATGATGCTTAAGAAGTGCTTTGGCTCTTCCCCTCTGGTGTTCTCAGGTCTCTAGTGGAAATTATGGATGGATAACTAGCCCTAATGAGAGTTGTATTATTGTATGATTAGTAGTGGGACTTGGGCACTTATTTTACACTTATTGGAAGGGCATCTTGTTATTTAGAACTCACCTCGCAGGGTGGCGGAGCGCTACGGTACGAAGGAACTATCTTGAAGGTAACAGAACCGCGTGCCTCGCGCTGCAACGAGAAGGATTAGCACACAATAGAATTCAATTAGCAAAGTGGACACTGGCATAGAGTGGAGTCTGATTCGCTTACCAGCATTCGTTGCAATTGGCCCACCGACTGATGCTGCACCGGCTGGCCATTGATCTCTCGTATCTCGTCGCCCACATGCAGCGTTGCCTGTCGATGTATCATTCCCCCATGCATAATCCTTGCCACAATGCAGCGCCCATCCTCGGTCATCTTCAGCGTAATACCCTGCAATGTCAAATGGTCAGCGATTCCCTTTGGGACAAGGACAGTGCCAGTACTCACCATGGGCTCGTCCGTGTTCTTTTGGAACTGCACCAAGCGTACGCGGGTCACATGCTGCAATTCGCCGCCCTCCACATTGTCCATCTCATCGCCATTGAGGTAGGGCACCATCGGTGGCGGGGTGACGCGCAGCGCCTCCTCACCGTACACATCTCGGGCCACCACATCGTGGCTATGGAGCAGGGCCTGCAGGACCAAAAAGAGAACCCAGAACAAGGTCAGTCGTCGGTCGGATTTGGGGCCCGGGCCTGAGTTATGGCCAACAATTATGCCGCCCGTTATGAGATGGCTAAGCGATGGGGCCAAATCTCGTTTTGGGGCTGAAATTTAATTTTGCGATTTGCCCACACATACAGGCATACATCATAACCCACACAAAGAGACGCTCGAGACCCTTTTCCGCACCACCCACCGCCACACAGATGGTTTACAGCATTAACTGGCGACAACATTTGTTCAACGGCCACAACATTAAAAAAAAACATTGAGAATGGAATAAACGAAGCTGCAGATACCCTCAGCGAATCCCTATGCAGATCCCTGTTAGTCCTTTGTCAGGGTATGTCGAGCCACGGTGTAATAGTAACCCAAAGAGCGGTCCATCTCCATTTCCAAAAAGTCGTTAAAGCGACAACAACAACAACAACAACATGACCTCATGACCCCTTCAAAGTAAAAACCCATAAATGGCACCCTCACTCCCTGCCCCAGCCACTACCTCGACAGACTGCCACCGCCTTGAAGCGTATCAACAGCAACAAAAAAATGGAAAGAAAATCTCAACAATTTATGGTGAAGCCTGCCCACAAGCGGCAACAACAACGGCTTGACTTTATACAATTTCGGTTTTAATAAATTATGTTTAATAACACTTTGAATATGTTGCGAAATTAATTTTTGGCCCTGCCCTGCCCCTGCCCCTGCCCTTGCCCCTGTCCCTGCCCTTGCCACGCCGACAGACCGCAGGCAGCCGCCACGATATGAAGGATTTTCCAAAGCGGCACAGAGAGGGGTGCGGCGATGGGGGGAATGCGTAATGCGAGTGGATGCCGGTTAGCCTGAAGCTGGCAGGGCAGAAGTCGCATTCGGCTAGGCCATAAAAAAGGATTTTACTGCGTTGCCAGGCTGTGCCACACACGACCAGAACACCTAACCCACACACTGATAGAAATGCATATACAAGTATATATGCTAAGTACCACAACAACCACAATGCTAAGCCAGCAGTTTCGCCCCAATGCCCTTCACTCCACTCCAGCATAGTCCACATTATCCCCCTAAGTCTCTTGTTCTTTATCCTTATATAAAACCCCAACCCAATCCAGTGGCACCATAAAAAACGCAATTTTCAACGCTGATGATTACTCAATGCCACAAACAGGGACCCACGTAACAGGCCACCAGTATCCCCACACACTTACCTCTACACTGACTCACATATGTACACACCCCCACACACACACACAGCTGTAAGCTTGCGTGCGTCTGTTTCATTTCCGCCACAGACGACGCACAGTGTTGACATCGACCTCAAGAAGCGCAACCATCAGGCTGGCAACGGGCTGCTCTCTTTTGGAAACTCTGCCGCTGTGCTGTCAGTTGCAACAACTATTTCTGAGAGAGATTTCAGTCACACTCCATCTCCATACGCTCCACAAGCCGCAGAGGATTGACATGAATTCACGCACTGTCGTGTGCATAAATATTTCATAATGCTTCCTAGAACAGAGTCCATCCACCACACCCCAAGCCATTCCACATCAGTCCATCACCGAGTTAGAACGAGACTTAGTTGCGTAAAAAAAAGCTCATAAGTGTGGGGGAAATGGATCCTAACATGTTTACCCAATATATAGTTTGGGGGTTTGGGGCGGGACTGCGATTGACAGGTGGTAATCGAGTTTTGAGCTTATCAATTCAATAATTCAATGTGTCGGATTTTTGTGGGGCGGAGGCGAATAAAACTTGTGTGGGATATCAAATTTAGTGGTCTTTGATTTGGAAATCCTTCCATGAAATGCTCTTTTGAGCACCCCGATATCATGGCAACCGTTTCGCCCTTTTCGGTCTCAGGCATGTCAAGTGGATTGCAATGCGATGTTCCAGAAATGCGAAGCGAATGAAGCATCAGATTCAAGTACATAAAATCCTGTGTAACTGTTGAAACCATTTCTAGATGGGGGATTGCACTCGAAATTGCTTGTATTCAGTTTACACTTTCCCCTTCAAACAGAAAAACAATTTATTCTTTTATTTATTTTTGTGAGGGCAGCAAATATTAAATCCCACATTAAACCAAATCTGCTTACGACTTATACTAAAATGAATCAATTGTTTTGTATGTTTAAGCAGCTTAAATGCTTTTTGTCTTAGCCTAAAGTGAAGTGAAGTGGAGAATAATTCTTCAAAATGCACATCAAAGAGCCACAAATTTGGATTAAAATTCCCTTTATGAAATATTTAATATAACTGCTTCAGCCCTTCAATGGATAAACGCAACAAAATTCATTTAAACGAACCAATCGGCATTCCTCTTGTCTTGCCAGAGAATTTCTTGTTTTTGTGCGCTTTTGCAGAAGTTTTGGCCAATCCAATTAGCCAAAAAACTTTCGTCTGCCTATTACGGACAGTTAGCAGTGGCTACACCTACTACGACTACTACTAAGACAGCCACTCAAATGTGCACGGTTGACGCCTCTTTCGCTCGAGGGAACCATCTAGCAGGAGCAGCAGCAGGAGCAACAGAATTTCGACTAAATAAATGGGTAATACAATTTCCGTGCCAGAAACGAAATTAACTACTTCGAATAAAATTTTGCTGAACTTGGCAACTATTTAAATGCGGCAGATGGTAGATGGCGGTGCACAAGGACGATGCGATGGCCAAGACGAGAAGGACTCGACTCACGCCTGGTTAGCCTCGCTCTAAGCTGACAGGGTTCCGGACTGGGGGCTCCGTGCGGGCGATAAACAACGTAATCTGATTTCACTTAAAGCAGGCCACGCCCACTTGTCCACTTTTGGTTGGACACTTTCGTGGTAGGAGCTATCGCGGGGGTAGGGAGAGGCATATTTAACACCAAGTTGTTGGCCCAATAAAACGGTAAATTTAATAAGCGCTTGACAGGCGGGACAGGAAAAGTTGAGCAGTTAAGTTTAATGCCTCATTAGGCGCTCCAACTCTGTGACATTGATAGGCCAGCGCCACCGTCACCATCGAGACGTGGCAAAGTTTTTGGCCCCAAAGCCACGACCAAATGAGGCCACACACACACACCTAAGAGAGGGAGAGAAGAACGAGGACCCCACAGCTGGCTCTGATTTCAATGATTAATACTTAAGTGCTTGTTAAAGTTGGGCTCTATATGCAGATGAGTTGCCTCGTCCGATCCTAAACAATCAAAGCCAAAGAAACCCATTAATCGAAAGCCATCCCGCTGCTCTGCCATTTGTTTGCTGCTGATGCGACAGCATCCAAGGGATGCCCCAAAAGAACAAGAAGCTCGGCCAGCAGTAACCCTCTTTCACGCCTTAAGCCAGGAGCAAAGTGAAAACTACATATTCTTCCATCCTGTACTTCGAAATAACTAACTCTTAAATGATTCAGGTGGCAAAAGTTTAGCGGAAACTTTGCACAAATCTTTGACATGATGCAAAACTTTTGGAAGGTTCTTGGCTTTTTTTATGGAGCTTAACTCTCAAGTGAACTCTGCAGAGGTGCAAGTAAAACATTGAGACTCGGGAAATTAACTATGGAAAACCATAAAAAAGTGAATCAAGAAGCAAAAGGCAGTGTACAAAATAATTTCACATTTTCAGAGAGCTAAAAGTTACACCTTTCAAAGCGGAATGGCAGATTCTACAGTTGAATGTAAAAGAGAGGTACTAATAAGTAAAATCTCTTTGGTATCCATCGTCAGCTCTTTTCAAGCTAAATATTCATCACTGCCTGCTACTGCTCCTGCTCCTGCTCCTGCTCCTGCTCCTCTTTGGCTGCTGAGTCAGGTCCATTGTTATCCGTCAGTCCATGGTCCTGGTCATTTTTTTGCAGCTTTATGCTAAGCCACTAACCAAAGGACGAAGCCACGAACCAACATCGCAGAGGCCTCTGGTTGTGGGAGACCTCACACCGACCACACGAACGTTATTTGTTGGTTTTAATAATTACACAGCCCTGGCAACGACAGCATCAGCAGCAGCATCAGAGTAACACAGGCGCTGGCAGGCAGGCAGGAAGTGTTCTAGGATTTTACTCTCTTTAATATTCCAGGCCACACGTCAATTACACACGTACGCGCGACTGCAAATGGTTTCCACATCCATTTCCCCGGCTAATGGAGGCTGCAGATTGTAGGGAAAAACAGATAGGAAACTCGACACAAGAGTGGGGCGGCCGTTGACAGCTGAATCATCTGGATTAATGGCGAATTTTAATTAGTACAACGTGCAGCGGTAGGCAGACCAGACCAGACCAGGCCCCCCCCAGGTGCCGGGTCGCTGGCCGAGTGCAGACTTCAGTCAGTTAATCTGGTCTCATGGCCAGGTTCACTCGGATAGTTTCTGGCATTTGGCACCTTATCTGGTAGCAGCCAGGGTTTACAACAGATGTATGTGTGATATGTGGGGGGGAGACCGCAAATGAATCTCCTGCATGATTAATTCCAGCTTAACCCCAACATAAACACGAAAAGAGGAGACGAAAAGAGAAGGGTAAGCTTTGAACACCCTTGCGGAATCATTAACAATTACATTTGAATTTATATTGCAGATAGTTCCCATGGTAATAGTAAAAGTAGAAGCAAGACAGAACGGACTTTAAATACAAAACTTTGCTTTCAACGATCATCGCCATGTCAGATGTGAAGAAATCATGTAATAAATTTCAGATTTTAAACATATTCTTCTCTTCTTTTGCCTCGGAGCAAATACCCTCCTCATGGGGATGGGCAAACAAACAAACAAAAAACACCCAAAAAACGCACAAAAAGTTGTTTAAAGTTTGTTGATGGCCCCGGACCGTGGCTGTCAAGCTGTCAGGTCTGGCTCAGGTTGCGGTGCTCCAATCTGTTCATGTCGTGTGTGTTTTTGTGTGATAAACTAATGTGGGGGAGAAGGAAGCCTGAGCTGGAGCCCACTGCGGTGCATTTCTTTCCCGTGGGACAAAGCGTTAGGGCTTTTTGTAGCTA